TCCATCACATATGATAAAACGTACCCTCAACCTTGTTACATCTCCAGCACTTATCTGATTCGGACTTATACATTTTAGCAAGTCTGCTCGGACTTAAATACCATCTGTAAATCATTTTCAGGTAGTTCTCCTTCAAAGAATAACATGCTGTGAACTTCAGATCGCCCTTCCAAAGTTTTCCCCAGAGAGTCAAATCTTTATTATGTCCTATATCTACTGCGCAGTGTGTCATAAAGGGGGGAGCAATCTTGACAATAAACCAGTTGTCTCATTGATTAATTGAGATTTGCCTTGACTCCAGAAAAACCTACAGCTGTTTCTTGCTGCTCTAGGTGTGATGCAGAGGCATATCTCAGAGTCAAAAGGACTTGTGTGCATATTTCTCATCACATGAGTTTAAGCATGTTTTTGCTCCTTAGTTTGCAAATGAATTGTTTTCTCGTAACTGTTAACCAGGGCTTTTTTTTTCAAGCTGGAACTCACCGGAACTCAATTCTGGCACCTCTCAGATGGGCACCATTGCCATTCTAAGAGAACAAGGGAGGTGTTCGTGGTGAGTTCCGGCACCTATTTTTCTAGAAAAATAGCACTTCTGTTAACAGTGGCTCCTTTTTTCCTCTTTCAAGTCTCTGGAATGTGTTCTAGTACAGTCTAATTTATCAAAGTACAATATTGGATATCTAAAAAGGTGTCTCTAAATATACGTCTGAATAAATTAGGAAGGCTGTGGATCCCAGATTAGGATAAGTGGATACATATAAGCAGGGAATACGTACTCCAGAAAATTTGGAATTACTCGGATCTGGGCAGTGGCAGTTCTGCTGTTTCTTTATGGGATATGTAAAAATGCGCATCTTAAACCAAGTCAGGAAGATAATGTAAGAAGCATATGAGTAATTTGTGCTGAAGAAATCACACATAATCTGTGCATAGAAGCTTCTCATTCTTTTTTGTGTGATGCGTAACAATGTCCATTGTGTGCATTGAGCATTCTACACTGAAAATTCTCCCATGCCTCAGAAATAAAAGGAGCTTTGTGCAAGTGTTGGAGCCACTGGAGATACATGGAATGCAATAAAGAGTTTCACAAACGAGGAACACAATAAGTTTCAGAAATGTATCCTGACCGACAGGAGTTGTGTTTGCTTGAGTGCTTCTGGGTTTTTTGCTCGTTCGTTTACAGAGGGGAAAGCATAGATATATATATAGATATGTATAAAGCTTTTAAGCTAGTAAGCTTAAAACAAACCAAAGGATAATATGGGGCTAATTCTAACCTCAGATATATGCATGGACATTTGAGCTTTAATAACTGCAGTCTGTATCCCATGACGGACCGTAGGAAAACTCTTCTTATCAACAACCCAGAACACCTTGAATAAAAAGGCTGCCAGTCCCTTCTATGAGCGGATTTGCATTTCATATAAATGATTATTTCTTTTTTTAAAAAAATTAAAAATCTTTTTTATTGAGTTTTACATTGCAAATTTAAATTCAAACAACAAACATCCTCACCCTCATTCAGGATTCCCTGAATCCTTTGACTCCCCTCCACTCTTCCATGGTTACCATTTTCAATCTTTTCCCACTGCTTCTCTTATTTTCTCTATTTTTCTTATATAATCCAATTTTACCTTAGCTTTTTTAGTACATTACAAACGTTACTCGAATCCTGCCAAAGCTTTTAGTTATTTACAGCATTCTCTTAGGTACATTATAATTCCCCCCCATTCCTTTTTAAAGTTCTTCTCTTCCTGGTCTCTGATTTTCCTGGTCAATTTCGCCATTTTGGCATAGTCCATCATCTTCACCAGCCATTCATATATGACTATTTCTAATCCCATGCTCAATGCCCTGATGGAAAACAAGACAAAGCCTTTGTGTAGAAAGGGGGTTCATTGAGTTAAATGGTTATAGGCTGAATCTAGAGCCAGTAAATGAAAGACTTCAGCCTATTTTGATCTGAATCTGGGGTGAAAAACAAAGCAAACCTAAATGAGCACATGGACATGCATATCTGAGAGCAGAATTTGCTTCTGCTTCTGCTCTTAGGGCCTTTGACCAGCTTCTAGTGCCACTTTCCTGCACGAAAGCAGAGACCCCACACGGATCCCCATCAGATTCATGCATCTACATCAAGTTTAGTGGGGCAGACCTCCAGATCGGCATTGTGATGCATCAGTTGTTCTGTTCTCCCTTGCTGGTCGAGGCCATATATATTTAAATATATAAACTAAAGTAACCAACAATAGCTATAGTATATATGGAATGTGTAATATCACATCAACCCATCGTATGTTATATATTTATATATACACACCCAATTGTATATAAGAGTAAGAATATATTGCATATATATATATATATGTATTTCTAAGATACATGTACTTACGATAAAGGCAAAGATCACATTCACATCTTAGATGGTCTTCAAAATGTTAAATGAAGCAGATCTTCATTTAAGAAAATGTATAGATGCCATTGCTTTGATGTAACTTTCCCCTTTTCTGTTTGAACATTAAATATCCTATATAACAGCAAAATTACTAAATGGGTGTACATATTTTCATAACCTGAACTGAAAGATAACTCTAAGGAGTGACAGCACATTTTGATATTATTACTAACAATGGTATATATGACAGACTTAATTTGACGGGTTTTGTTTTATTATTTGCATCAGAGTAGAAACCGAGAATAAATTGCGTACCTTTTGTTGTATTGCTGATGCAAAAGAATAATGATTTATTCTAATTTATTTATTTTAAAGTGGGTGTCCTAGGCTTGTTTACAGGCAGTGAACATTGTTAACTTCTAAAGCCTCGTGCAAACATTTTATAATATGAGTAAAATAAAAAAAGATGTTGTAGAACCAGCATATCCCATCATCATTGCTCATTACAAATTATGTGGTATCACACTTGTCTACTTTGTAGAATGGAAATTGCTGTGTGGAAGCCCAGATGCATGAGTACTGGTTTTGGTTGTTTGGAAATCAAGCTTTATCAAACTTTCCCTGTGCTCAGAGACAATCTCTTCAAGTCTATCAAGCTTTTTTTGCATAGAGCAAACATTGTCCTTTAACAAAGAATATCTAAAACTGACATTCCGGAGCCTAATTGTGTGGTCTGGGATCAGATGCGGTTGATCTGGCTTGGGGTTGTAGATATGATACAAAAGGTGGTCTGGTCAGACACCTGGATTCTCAGTCCTTGCCCAGCAAGTCTTAGCCAATGATTAATGACTCCTTGAAACAGGGAGTGATCCTCACACCTTAAGAAACATTTATTTGCACCCAGAGTATTGTAAAAACATTCAAGTACAACTATTCCCTTTTCCCCTCCTCCTCCTCTTCTTTTACAACTATTCCCTTTTGTGGCAAGGTATGAGAGAGAGCAGGGTGCTGAGCTGAGGGGGTGCAAAATTGAGAAGATCCATAATGGAGAAGATCCATTTTGGGGAGCCAAATTTTGGCCTCACACATTGCCATATTTCAAAAGTTCACCAAATTCTGTCCCTGGAGAGACAATATGGCGGGTCCCACTCCAGGCACTTAAACATAAATTTTTATGTGGATCCATTTCGGTTGGAGTCCAAACTGAAACAACCTTGATCACCCTAACACAGACGTACGTAGGCAATGTGGTGCCCCCCACAATGTTATTGGGCTACAGTTCCCATGATTCCCAGCCAGCATGGCCAATGATCAAGGGTGATGGGAGTTGTAGTCCAACAATATCTGGAGATCACTAAGTTGACGATCCCTGCAGTAGGGTGGCCTCTGCTGGGAGAGAGCTGGGAGGCATGTGGCTCTGTTGATTCTTCTTGATCTCTCAGCAGCATTTACTACCATCAGCCATGATCACTTGCTGGACAAACTCGGTGGGAAAGATTCAGGAGGCACAGTGATACATTGATGTCACTCCTATCTCCAGGGTTGGTTCCAGAGGGTGGCAATGACGTTTCTGCTCATAGCTGTCAACCGTCCCTTATTTGGCAGGAAACTCCCTTATCCCAGCGCTGTGTCCCGCTGCTGTCCCTTACTGATGATGTCCCTTAAATTTCCCGGGTTTCAAAGGAAGCAGCTCCTCTCCCTCCCTCCCTGCCGGCCAGGGAGGAGGGAGGCTCCAACTGTGTTGCTTGGCTGCGTTGCTCACCCAATAAGGAGTCTAAGAACGACTGGGGGGGTGGAACTTGCATGCCTTGTGCTGATCAAATCGGCCGCGTTGCCTGGGGACTCACCTTTGCTCAGCACTTCCCAGCGGAGAGGTGATGGTGGTTTTCCTTGCTGCATCCCCTTTGTCGGGTGGCTGCGCTGTGGGAACCACTACTTGAGGCTTCGTTTGGCTGCTGACTGGGCTTTTTGCCTTTGGCTCGGAGGGGCTCAGAAGATGAACATACCTGTGCCCAGAAAATCCCTTATTTTGGCTGCTGGTCCCTTATTTTCAAATCTGTAAGTTGACAGCTATGTTTCTGTTTGAGCTCATGGCACTTGCCTATGCATTTTCTAGAGGGCTGTCTTGTGTAACATGTAGTTCACCTGAGGTGTGACTGCAACAAACACATGTGGACTTGCCAGGGAGTCGGGAGAGTCTGCACATGATTAGTCTATGGAGTTTCCTTCTATAAAATGTGGTGATAGCCAGCAACTTGAATGGCATAAAAATTCAAGGCCATCAATGGCTACTAGTCATGATGATTGTATGATACCTTCAGGATCAGAAGAAGCATGCTTCTGAAACCCAACAGTGGAAGAAGTCTATTGTCCTCATCTGGTGGACCATTTTGTGAAACAGGATGCTGGTCTAGGTCAGATCCAGAAAATCTCTCTCCTATGTTCTTTTGACTGGCTATAACCACTGGTCAAGAATATATGGTCACAAACCCAAGTTTGCTCCTGTGTAGTGTTTGAACCAGCTTTGAACTGGCCCTGTTTCAGAGCAAAGTTTCATGCATGTAGGAAAAGAATCTGAAAAATGTAAATGAGAACTGGCAGGTTCTTTATGCAGTCTTTTAATTTCCACTGAAGACACTGTTGACATATATTTCAATGTAAATCAGACAGACAACTCTGTCTAAGCAGTAGAAGAAGAAAATAACACAATATGTAGCTTCATTGAGGTCCCTATTAGTACATCATTGCCTAATGGAGGGCACCTATAGATCAGGAAATAACACAGGGAGCAATCCTAGCAATCCTCAGCTGCAAAGTTCTTGTAAGATTTTGGAAGGATTAGGAAACTGGTTAATGAGTGACTGAGAACAACATCCAATGGGCAAACCAAGCACTGTAATCAGGTAACTCAAAATACAAATGGTGTGATCTCGCAAATGCTATGACCAGGTTTTCAGAATTTCTCGATAATTCATTCGTATTTGAGCACCTGGAAGGGCAAGACATGAGCAAAATCTCCATGCATTTATACTGAGTCAAGTTTTCCTATTGACTTCCTTGGGCTGTGTGCGTGGGCTGTATTTGACCAGATACACGCACAGTGTTCTTGCATGTGTGGACTGCCCTTTTCATAAAGATGTTCAAATGAACTACTTTCCTGTAAATGGAGAAGGTTTTTGCAGGCAGGAAATGCCACCAGAGCTTCCCTGTCCACTAATAAACCTTGGATTAGACCATTAGGTAAGATGGGAGCAGTCTTCCAGCTATTGTACTCTGTGGGGTGCAACTTTGGGGCAAGTCCAATCCTGTGGAATGCAACCTGACAATTGTAAGAATTCTGCAATCTTTTCTAGGGAAATCATCACAACCGTTTTGTCTGCTCAGGAGCCAGGGCCCATCTGTCAATTTTACTTGCTGACAGAAGGCTCCTTAGCTCCATGGGAAGGGTGATTGCTCAGTGATAGAGCACTTGTTTCGCATACAGATGGTCCCAATCCCTGGCATCCCCAGAAAAGGCTGGGAAAGATTCCCTGTTTGAAACCATGGAGAGCCACGGCCAGTCATTGTGTAGACAAGGCTGAGCTAGATGGATTATATGTGGCAGTTTCCTATGTTTATTGCCAGCAACTTGGTCACATATTCCTGGGTGAAATTGGATCCACCGTTTGAGAACTGGCATGTGAAGCTATTGCTCCATTTTGCCCCTTGTGCTCTACAATTCACCCCAAATGGTGTGCACAGCACTTTGCCTCCAGTGAGAACTTATCTCAAGGCACAGGACTCTTCAGCTTTCACCTCACACATCCAGAAGACAAACAAGCTGTTTTGAACTACTCAACTCAACTCAAACTCAAAAGAAGTCACTGCTGTAAGTGGCATGGAGTCCACGCCGGAGTGGACCCCCAAGGTTTGCTTGTGCTGCCAGGAGGACCCAATCCTTTCACCATTACACAGAGAAATAGGAACCTAATCCTTGCACTGCTACACGGCGCAATCCAGTTGTTACAGCTGTGTTATGTTGGGTCAGGAGTGGCCCCTCTTGGTGAACTGGGACCTCAGCAGCTTCCCAAAAGCACTGACTCATGATGCTTGCACTGGTAAGAATCCTACATTTAGTACCCACCTGTAGGCAAGAGATATTCCTGCATCATCGCTGCTGAACAGTCCATTGATGCTGTCTAGGTGTTCGGCAGGTAAGAGGTAGGAGGAAGAAGTGAATCCAAGTTCCCTTCTCCCTTCACAGCTCATAGCATCAATTCTCTGCTCAGTGAGAGGACATCATTGTCAATATTGTGTGAGAACACCTCTGGACCAGGGCTGTGAGTCTATCTGAGTCTATTTTGATGTACATACAAGTCAGTCTCGTTTGTATGACACACACACACACCCAAATCTATTTAAAGCTGAAAATATTTTAGTGCCCCTCTCCTAGAAAAAAGAGGAGCCTGGTCCCCTTCCTCTGAATGTATTACATCTCTATCCACATCCAGTGATTACATTTTAGGTGTCTCTTAACAACGTTTACAAAGTCTGTTTGAAGCCTAGTTGTGGCTTTAATAAGTTTCAATGAAACCCAACCCCAACCCCCCAAATCTGCCTTTTGTGGTTAAATGTCAACACCCATCCTCTGAAAAACACTGTCTATGGAAGGCAAAATATTTATTAAATGAAACTCAGCTACATGTCCCCATCTACCATACGTAGCTGGAGTACCATATAATTAGAAAGACAGATATCAGTATGGCGCAAGAAACACTTCAGTAGGGAAGTTAATTGATTCCAATAATGACATTTGACACAATCACACAGATGCCATGACACCGAGGACACTGGCCCCAGTGCAGATCAGTTGCAGAAGTCTGGTGGCATCCATAGAAGAGGCTGTGCTTGCCTCACTGCATCCCTTGCATTTATCCACTTCACTGGAGTCTAGGTGGACACCTTGATTATACATTTTGATTATAACCATCTTGATACAGTTAGTTCTCCCTTACTGAATTGGGGGCAACTTGGCTTGAAATTAAAAGTACTAGACCTAAATTCAAAATGACTGTTTAGGACCTGGGTGGCGGTGGTAGTTAAATAGACCCGGTTGTTTGGGGTTCACACCTTGCATTCTGTGGTGTGGCTGTCTTCTCCTGTGGTTAGAGCCATTCTTGTTGTTGAGGGTTAGCATGAGAAGTCATTGTGCAACTGGCAGTGTACATGTTTCATCACCATGGCTAATAATTGGGTCTGTTCTAAGCAGAATGCACCAGAGCAAGTAATTCATGAATCAGGTTTAAGATCTCAGAAGTGTAACAATGTAATTCAATATTTTGCTGTTAACGGACAAGCCAGCTTCATTCCAAGCAACAAAACCCACTATTTTTATCGTTCCATCCAAAGATGGAAAGGGGTTGGGAAGAACTCAAGCAAAATATAGCCTTTAGGCTACAGTCCTCAAACCCACTCACTCTGGAATAGTTCCATTGACCTTATTAGTGATAACTTTATGGAGCAAGAAGCCATGAGGAGCACACCCCATTAATGTCTGACAGCTGGATAAACTGGCTGCTTTGGAGATCTCATTAAGAGCTTTTGTCTCCCTGCTTCTTCTTGTTGGTCTTCTCAATCATGGTCTCCACAATCATGGCGGTTTCTTCGTACGTCTGAATTTTGTCGTCCGAGAATTTCTCAATGGATTCCACCACTTCCACTTTCTCGTAACTCACGGTGCTTGGTGGGCTCAGCTCCTTGAAAGAGAGGCCACCTGCCCTGCCATACTCCTTGCCTATGTATACGCCTGCTTCAGTTCGGTCACTCGGACCCATTGGGGTCATTGGCCCATGTTCCTCGATCCCCAGCTGTTTTGCTGGCTCTTCGTGTTTCCCTTCAGGCTTCCCCCACTGTTCAAAGACATCTTCCTTCACTTTGTCTTCTTCTGGTTTATACTCATATTTCAGGTCTTCCGGCATCTTGGGCCCCTCTTGTGTTTCTTGGGCTTCGAGTTCACCTTTGTCGCTCTCAAGAGGTTCTGGTAGCTCTGATATTGGTTCTACAACACCTCCACTGGGCATCGTGCCTTCACTGTCAGAGACAGTGATTCCACCTCCAGAAGGGATGGGTGAAGAGTAGAAGCAGGGGTCATCATAACTCCCCTCTCCGGTGACAAGTACATACCGCCCTTTAGTATAGAAGTCGCTTTTGGGTTCCGGTCTCTGGTAGCATCTGATCCTCTCTCTCACTATGTTGCAAAGTTTATCAAAAGCTTTGCTTATCTGTGCTCCATCAGGCACATCCTCTGCAGCCCTCTCTTGCTCCACATCTTCAACTTCATCCTGCCTGTGTTCACTTGTGATCATTAATCCCTCGTGCTTGAAATCCAGCTGATCGTGATCAAGGCCTTCCAAAGGCCGGTCATACATTTTTTCCGATGGAGCACCATTGGCGAGGTCTTTAGCGGTGATCTCCTTCCTCCTTGAGATCTTCTTCGGCAGACTTCTTTGTCTGGTCTTTGCACTGGTGATGTCTTGAGCAACCAACGTAATGTCTGTGGAGAAGGGGAAAGGAGGGGAAACGGACATAGCCATTGTGTGAGATCCAACAGAACATAATGATAATAATTTGTTATTTATACCCTGCCCATCTGGCTGGGTTTCCCCAGCCACTCTGGGCAGCTCCCAACAGAATATTAAAAACACAAACATTAAAAACTTCCCTAAACAGGGATGCCTTCAGATGTCTTCTAAAAGTCAGATAGTTGTTTATTTCCTTGACATCTGATGGGAGGGCGTTCCACAAGGCAGGTGCCACTACTGAGAAGGCCCTCTGCCTGGTTCCCTGTAACCTCACTACTTGCAGTGAGGGAACTGCCAGAAGGCCCTCAGAGCTGAGCCTCAGTGTACGGGCTGAACAATGAGTATGGAGACACTCCTTCAGATATACTGGGCTGAGGCCATAATAATGTTCAGTCATCATTTCAAATAGCAAAAGCATTCATTGCACTATACATAAACATGCATCTTGTCATGCTCAGCAGTTTGTTAAATGCATGTGCAGTGTGGGGGTAGAGATTTGGGGAACTGTGAGAGGGTTACTCTGTTAAATAGGTTTGCCCTGACTTTGGAAATTATAGGGACAGAACCACCCAAAATGTATAGAAATTTAGTTATGTATGTGACTACAGCAGCAGGAATGTTACTTTCCCAGAAATGGAAAGAAGAAGTCCCAGCAAAAGAAGAACGGACACAAAATATGCAGAAATGACGAAACTTACCAGAAAAATAAGAAATCAAGATAACAAACTTTTTTTTATAAAAGAATGGAAATGGTTTATGGAATATTTACAAAGAAACTGTGAACAGATAGGAACGTTGGCAGGATTATTGTAAAAGTCTGCAGTTATATAAGAGTATATATTTAAAGTAGATGAATAAATGAGTAAATTAAGCTAATTTGGAATATGCAGAAAATATTAAAAAACAAATTTAAAGAACTGCAGAAAGAGGGGGAAGGAAGTTGAGTTTTGAAATGTTAAAATGATTTTAAAATTATTGAAATGTATAAAACTGAAAATCTTAAATAAAATAATAATAATAATAATAATAATAATAATAATAATAATAATAATAATAATAATAATAGGCTTGCCCTGAAAGGCACGTGAATCTAATTCCTTCCCCATCCTAGTCTTAGGTCATTACCTTTCCTTCCAAGAGCTGTGGTCTGTGTGGTTTTGTAGCTTTGTGTAAATAGTGTCACGGGGGTTCCAACAATGGCAGAATTCAACCTGGAACAGAGGGAAATGAGTTATAAGAAATGCCTAGCGAAATAACACCTTGAAAAAGAATGAAGGCTATGCAAAGTCAAACAAAACAAGCACAGCATCTGCATAATTATGGATCTTTATTTCTCTGCATAATGTGTGGGCATCTTCCAAATAAGTTATTTTTATTCTTTTGTGTTGCCTCAAGCTGAATACATGGAGAGTATTATGACATCACATTCTCCAATGCCCACTTCCCTGAGCACCTTGCTGGCTAGATTTATTAGAAACAGAGGAGGATGCTTTCATCACAGCAATATTTCACGGGTTACAGAAGCACTCCTACTTATTTTAAGGTTGCCACCATGTCCTCTTTTCCCCAGACACGTCCTCTTTTTCATGGGTATGTAAAATTAGAGTCTCGGCATAGCAATCCATAGTTGAAAGTAGAAATCCGCAAATGTGTCCTCTTTTTTGCTCTTCGAAATATGGCAACCCTCACTTATTTTGAATAGATCTCATGGAATACCATTCTGCAAACAGAAGTTGACTGCACACCTGAGGGAACCAGACTCACTTGAGTCTGTGGATGTGTTAATGGGACATGGGATGTGGGTGGCGCTGTGGTCTAAACCACTGAGCCTCTTGGGCTTGCCGATCAGAAGGTTGGCGGTTCGAATCCCCGCCACAGGGTGAGCGCCCGTTGCTCTGTCCCAGCTTCTGCCAACCTAGCAGTTCAAAAGCACGCCAGTGCAAGTAGATAAATAGGTAAGGTAAATGGCGTTTCTGTGCGCTCTGGTCTCTGTCACTGTGTTCTTTTGCGCCAGAAGCGGTTTAGTCATGCTGGCCACATGACCCAGAAAGCTGTCTGTGGACAAACGCCAGCTGCCTCAGCCTGAAAGCAAGATGAGCGCCACAACCTCATAGTTGTCTTTGACTGGGCTTAACCATCCTGGGGTCCTTTACCTTTTACCCAGCTCCTGCCAACCTAGCAGTTCGAAAGCATGTCGAAGTGCAAGTAGATAAATAGGTACCGCTCCGGCGGGAAGGTAAATGGCGTTTCCGTGCGCTGCTCTGGTTCTCCAGAAAGCAGCTTAGTCATGCTGACAACATGACCCGGAAGCTGTACGCCAGCTCCCTCAGTCAGTAAAATGAGATGAGTGCCACAACTCCAGAGTCGTCCACAACTGGACCTAACAGTCGCGGGTCCCTTTATGTTTAAAGCACATGCTACATGCAGCTCTGCCTATTGCTCTTTGCATCATCTATGTGAGGCAGCCACCTAACTCTGCCTATAGCAGGACCGCTTTTAACCAAGGTACCACCAATTTCATAGGAAACTTCAAATGTCGTTTTTGGTTTGTTGGTTGGTTTGAAAGAGGCTTCTTAAAGACACAGCAATACACTGAACCCATGAACATCTCCAGCACCCCCCAAATCTCTCACCTGCTTTCTTCATTTTCAATAATGCGTTTGTAGCGCTCAAGTTCACTCTCCAGAGACTGCTTATAAATGGAGAGCTGGCGGCAGTCGTTGGTGTATTTTTCCAAGGTCCTCTCAGCATCTTCGATGCCCTTTCTCAGAGTGTCAATCTGCTCGTTGTACAACTGAATCTCATCGTCATAGCTTTCCTGGGTGTTTTTAATAGCCTGTTCCAGCATTGTTGTCTGTTTAAAAAAAAATTGAAATGAAAGAGAGGACTTTGAGCATTTATCTCCTGGAAAACTTTGCACTGGTACCCTCTCAGCTGGTCACTGTCAGCCTGTTTCAGTCATAAGTTCACTGACTTTAAGCCAGGGGCTGTGCTTTGCCTATTTACACTGGACAGGTTATGTTTGAGTTTCATTGCAAAACTTTGCCACAGGTTGTTCTGACGAAAACACGGGCAACAAAGCAAACTCTAGAACACAGTGATTTGACCTGACTGCAGAAACTAAAGTTAATTTCAGAGACAGGGACAAATGAGGAAGCAAGTATTTTGCAGATTAGGTTACGTGACAATCTGGTGAAGCAAAAAATCCTTCGCCAGAAAGCGTTTTTGTGGAATATAAATTTGCCACCAGGTGGCGATCAATCACTTGAAAAGCAAAGGCTTTGCCTGCTGTGGACACATTTTATTCCTTTCTTACTGCTCCAAGAACACTTTTTTTTTTTTAAAGGTTCTATGGGCACCACTCAGGTAGCCTTGAAGAGTACATTATAGATGAAATTACCTTTAATTTTACTTTAACGTGTACCTCCATAAAACCTTGGAATATGTTTTAAATTAGCGACGTGAGTGGCGCTGTGGGTTAAACTACAGAGCCTAGGACTTGCAGATCAGAAGGTCGGCAGTTCGAATCCCCGCAACGGGGTGAGCTCCCGTTGCTCGGTCCCTGCTCCTGCCAACCTAGCAGTTCGAAAGCACATCAAAGTGCAAGTAGATAAATAGGTATCGCTCCGGTGGGAAGGTAAACAGCGTTTCCGTGTGCTGCTCTGGTTCGCCAGAAGCAGCTTAGTCATGCTGGCCACATGGCCCAGAAGCTGTCTGTGGACAAATGTCGGCTCCCTCGGCCTATAGAGCGAGATGAGCGCGCAACCCCAGAGTCGGTCATGACTTGACCTAATGGTTAGGGGTCCCTTTACCTTTACTATGTTTTCAATCACCAGACTTGGAGAGCTGGATCAGGCTGGTACCACCCCCCCCCAAAAAAAAACACAAACGAAAAGCAAAGCAAAGGACCCTCATAGCTCATAACAACATAAGAATAGTCCTGCCAAATCAGGCCAGTAGCCCATCTAGCCTGACATTTGGTTTTCATAGTGGTCAGCCGGATGCCAACGAGGAGACCACAAGTGGGAGCACAATCAAAAACCCCTTTTTGCATCACTTTACACTTGCTTACATTGAATTGTCTTTTGCATTTTATTACCTGCTCACCAAGTTTGGAGAGAACAATTTGGAGCTCCTTGCAATACCTCTTTGTTTTGAACGTCATGAACAATTTGGTATCATCAGCAAACCTGGCTGCCTCACCGCTCATTGCTAACCCTAGATCCCTAGATTTATGAGCAAATTAAGAAGCATGGGTCCCAGGACTGATGCTTGGGGGACTCCAGTTTTTACATCCCTCCATTGGGAGAACTGGATTAAATCCAGTTGCCCTGATAATGAACCACTTGTAGGTTTTCCTTCCTTGCACATATATGTATGTGTGGCAACAAATGCATATGTTTGACTGGGCATGAATGCATGAGCTAACTAAATGAGTTAACTTTTTAATATACAGTGGTACCTCGGGTTAAGTACTTAATTCGTTCCAGAGGTCCGTACTTAACCTGAAACTGTTCTTAACCTGAAGCACCACTTTAGCTAATGGGGCCTCCTGCTGCCGCTGCGCCGCCAGAGCACAATTTCTGTTCTTATCCTGATGCAAAGTTCTTAACCTGAAGCAATATTTCTTTGTTAACAGAGTCTGTAACCTGAAGCGTCTATAACCTGAAGCGTCTGTAACCTGAGGTACCACTGTACTCTCTAAACACTTACACTCACTGGCTACATTCGAATGAAGAAAAGCTACTGCATATCAACCTAAGCAAGTTGTGTTTCCTTTTTATAGAATACAGATAATTGAACAAACTTAGTCGCATTACATTCTTCATTAAATTATCTTTCCATTGATATATAATTTTATGGTATTAATCCAAAAAGAAGTGGTGTTGTGAGCCATCAAACCTCAGAAATACACTTTCCCCTAAAGGTTCCCACAATTTTGGCCACTAGTGTAGTGCTTCAAAGTGTTGAAAGCATTTAACATTAAAGCTGGGCTGAATACGCCCCCCCTCCCCCCGTTTTGCAGGATCATTTATCTGCTGAGAAAGTGGGGAGGAGGATGAAAGGAATAATGTATCACTTGACATGATAATTTCCCCCTGACCCCATATTAGCTATTGACTTTGGTATATCGTTCCACTGGGGCTTTGACTAAATATACTGAACTCATTCATCCACACTGTGAACCAAGTACAGTCCTGAACAAGAGAACTCCTGACAGAGGCTGGAGAAGTTAAAATTTCATTATACCTCCCATCTCTCTTGGATGAGAATGTCAACTGGCTTTGGATCAAAAAAATCTAACGGGAGAAATCCCATGAATTTAGCTCTTTAACTCTTGCCTGTGAAGGCAGCTGTGTTAAAATGTCAAATACACCCAAGCAGTCATCTTGCAAACTGATGCAGAATTATCCTAGATGGTGTGCAAATTATTGGCTTGAATCAAAGCTAGCTTGGAGGCGGGGGAATGCATGAAAACACAGTATTTCATAAGAAACCACAGGATAGACACGGTTTGTTGTAGCTAACAGCGTGTGTACACAGGTTCCCAAAACAGTTTTGGGGCATACTGGATGCAGAGTGTGTAGGTAAAAAGGTAAAGGACCCCTGGACAGTAAAGTCCAGTAGAAAGTGACTATGGGGTGCGGCACTCATCTTGCTTTCAGGCCACAAACAGCTTTCCGGGTCATGTGGCCAGCATGACTAAACTGCTTCTGGCACAACAGAACACTGTAATGGAAGCCAGAGTGCACTGAAACGGTGTTTACCTTCCCGCCATAGCGGTACCTATTTATCTACTTGCACTGGTGTGCTTTCGAACTGCTAGGTTGGCAGAAGCTGGGACAGAGCAAAGGGAGCTCACCCCATCGCGGGGATTTGAACCGCCGACCTTCTGATCTGCAAGCCCAAGAGGCTCAGTGGTTTAAACAGGAGCGTGTACACAGGCCTAACACAACTATATTTCTGGGGGAAGTACCTCAGTCTGCAGTTTAGTTTTCTGAGCCTGGAGTTGACATAGGATGCTCTTGTATTCTTCTAACTGGCTTTGAAGAATCGGTATCCTCCTCTCAGTTATCAGCTTCTCCTAAGATGAAAGCAGAAAGAGGGAGGGTTGCGCGGGGGGAATCGGATTGTGTGCAAGTACCGCCGAAAATCTGATTATGCATGGAAAAGGACATGAAAAAAGCACGACCAGGCCATGTGCTTCCAGCAGGAATTCTATCAAAGTCATGCGGTTTTCAGAAATTGTACTTGATTTGAAGGGATACACATTGTGGTGAAATGATGAATAGCAAAAGACCATTAATGTACAAGCAAGAAATATTGACAGGATTTCAAAGGGCAGCTCTTTGAAAGTGATACAGAACTAGGTTGATTTCATGGGAGGATATATTTAGATGCACGGAAGTGCCTTAGTTCCAGTCATTTGTATCAATCCCTTGGGAAACCTAGGAGGGATATTTGACTGATTGACAATATGTCTTGGGGGAAAAAGAAAAAAGAAAATGCCACAACTCCTCCTTCGCTGCTACTCACTTCCTGTGTATGGTGCAGTGATTTGAGTGCTGGACAGACTGACCTGGGAGACAGGGGTTCTGGTCCCCACACAGCCATGAAACTGACAGGGTGGCCTTGACCTGTCACTGTCTCTCCGAATAACATACCACACAAGGTTGCTGTGAGGATGAGACAGAAAGAGGGAGAACTACATGCACCACCTTGAACTCCTTGGAGAAAAGGGGGGATACAAATAAAAAGGCCAAAAATTCATTCCCTGGGGAAGGATGACACTGTGGTGGATGGGTCACTCAGCATAAGAGAGGCCCCATAATTTGAGCAAGGGCGTTCACATATCTGAGCACCTTTGCTTCAGATAATTGATCCATCCCTACAAGCAGTTGTTTGGCTATGATCTCCATCATTCTGTCATGAACAGTGGTGGCGAACGGCCCTTCAGACTCGTAAGGTGGAAGGCAGAGAGGCCAACAGTAGGTGAAGCCAAGTGCTGCAAGCTTTGGGGCTTTCCAAGCTTGCCATTTCCCATTTCCAGGTTGTCGTTCTTTTGAATTTAAATTTGATTTTTTTGCATGCCGCCACACAACGTTGCCATTATGCAGCTCGTGTTTCAGAATACAGTGGTGCCTTGCAAGATGAAATTAATTCGTTCCGCAAGTCTCTTCGTCTTGCGAGTTTTTCGTCTTGCGATGAACGGTTTCCCATAGGAATGTATTGAAAATCAATTAATGCGTTCCTATGGAAACCGCCTTCAGACCAGGTCCGGGGACAGTCTGTCCCCCGACCTCTTCTGAAGGCTGGGGGGGGGACAAGGGCTTTTCTTCCCACCCCCAGCATTTTAAAAAACCCCGGGACAGCGGAGGACTTCTCCGCTGTCCGGGGCGATCTTAAAATGCTGGCGGGCGGCATTTTAAAATCGCCCCGGGACAGTGGAGGACTTCTCCGCTGTCCGGGGCGATTTAAAAGCCCCTGGGAAGGCAGGACCTCTTCTGAAGGCGGGCGGGGGGCGAATGTCTTTGCTCCCCCCGCCTGCCTTCAAAAGCCGTCCGGGACAGCGGAGAAACGCGCTGCCTTTCTCTGCTCTCCCGGGAAGGCAGGCAGGGGGGAGCAAAGACTTTTGCCCCCGCCCGCCTTCAGAAGGTGTTCCTGCCCCGCCGCCCGGCTTCGGAGCATCGTTCCGAAGCCCGGCGGTGGGGGGAGGTGTTCCCTCCCCACCGCCCGGCTTCGGAGGAGCCTTCCGAAGCCCGACGACGGGAGGAAGTGTTCCCGCCCCGCCGCCCGGCTTTGGAGCATCGTTCCGAAGCCGGGCGGCGGGGGGAGGTGTTCCCGCCCCGCCGCCCGGCTTTGGAGCATCGTTCCGAAGCTGGGCGGCGGGGGGAGGTGTTCCCTCCCCGCCGCCCGGCTTTGGAGCATCGTTCCGAAGCTGGGCAGCGGGGGGAGGTGTTCCCTCCCCGCTGCCCGGCTTCGGAGGAGCCTTCCGAAGCCCGGCGGCGGGTGGAGGTGTTCCCGCCCCACCGCCTGGCTTCGGAGGAGGTCCGAGGACAGTGGGGAAGACGCGCTGCGCTTCCCCGCTGTCCCGGAGATTTCCCTATGGGCTGTCGTCTTGCGAAGCAAGCCCATAGGGAAATTCGTTTTGCGAAGCGCCTCCAAAACGGAAAACCCTTTCGTCTAGTGGGTTTTCCGTCTTGCGAGGCGTTCGTCTTGCGGGGCACCACTGTAGTGTACACGCGCACCACTTTTTCTTCTACCACAGAAAAATCCAACTTTTGTGAAAGATCCAGATGGATCCCCGATATGTTCAGTGGTGTGGCGTGTGGATTGCATCAACCTGATTTTTGTATGGAAAAGGTGGGAGCTGGTGGGTGTGGTTTGGGAGACATTGGTTGTGTGTCACTTTCCTCAAAATGGTGGAAGCAGAGGTGGAGCTAGCTGCTCCGGCACCCGGGGGCGTGGCTAGACACCCTGTGGGGTGGGGCTAGTGTCCCAGGGGGCGCCACCCATGATGAGTGTCCCAGGGATGACATCTGGGGTGGACCGCCCCCACCACACCCCCTTCCTCTGCCACTGGGTGGAAGCTGTCCGTTTGCAAGCTCAACTCAGAGGGGAGATGAGGGCAGGGAGAGACGATAACGCTGAGATCAAAGCACAGCAATATACATATACAATACATATACAATGTTCTAACAAACCAGAAGCTTTTCTTTTAGGTATTGTAGAACCAGAGATCCTGAAGGAGCAAACAAAACTATTTATGTACGTGACCACGGCTACATGGACTCTCTTAGCCCAGAAATGGAAAGATGGTACAACTCCGACTAAAGAAGAGTGGCAGACAGAATTGATGAACTATGCTGAGATGGCAAAACGTACAGGATGAGAAACCAGGAAGAGGAGGTCGTTAATAAAGAATGGGGAAAGTCTATAATTTGTTTGAAAAAAGCTATTGTAAACAATTACGTACACTGAAAGGGTTGACGGAAAACTTGTAGTGAAAATTTGAGCTGTACAAAGAATTTATAAAAAGAGGGTTATGAAAGAGACGCAGAAGGAAAAATTATTACATCAAGATCCACAATTGGGGGTGGGGGACTCAAAAGGGATTATATGTTGATGTATTTAATTCATTATTTTATGTAAAACAGAAAATGAAAAAATAAAATTTATTTTAAAAAGAACAGCAATACACTGCTGTGCAATGGTTTCCCCCCAAGAATAACCATGTAATCCTCCAAACGTTGCTTCACCAATCCTCAATCACTCCATTTTTCTTTTACCCTTTTGCTACTATTTGAAAATCGGATCCTTCGGATCATTTCTTTTAGCGTGCCACAAACATTGTCGGTGAAATAAAACACTTACCTCGCTGGCTCCGGCTGCGATGGTGGATACGCGAGGAGTCGTTTGCATGATTTGCTGTAAAATACTGACGTAGGTCTGTATTTCCATGAGGTTCTGTGGCAGAGCAAAATGATTTACATTTGAAAGAATCAAAGGTAGGATCTCCGTTCGAGGGACTCCCCTCTCAACTCAACCCCCCCCCCGATGTAGATCCATCCTAGGTCAATAAGAATTGTTCTAGACAAGTGAGACCTGCAACAAAACATTGCACTGCGGAATACCTCCTGTTCAGAGATCCATCCTTCTGGTTTTCTACTCCCCTCCTTCAACAAGTCATCTTGCATTCTTTGGCCCCTGACCATTCATAGTCCCCATTGGCTTGTTTTGGGGTCCTCCCACTAGGGTTTCCCCCCCAAGATTTTCTGTTCACAGCCACAGCTCTGTAGCACCAGAAGGTGGATCAACTTCCACTATATCATCCCACTATGGCTTTTAATCTGCTATGAAGGTGCCATATATAGAGGGGGAAGAAAATGGGAGATAGAACTTTGTTCATTGGCTGAAGGTCCCTTGTCAGCCAGAGGTCAAGGGCCTACTCTCTGTTGTCTACACTTCTTGGCAAGCAAAGAAAACTAAGAAGAAATCAAAGCTCCCCTGTTAGTTCACAGTAATTACCTTTTTGTATCTGTCCTTTGCAGCATTAACATCATCCTGCAAGAACTGTGATTCAATCTGTAGTTCCAGATTACACAGCAAAGCTTCATCAGCTTCCTGTAATAAAAGCATTTCTTTTTGTTATTTTGACTTTACCAACACGTTCTGTATTTTGTATATTTATATTTCCAGTGTTCCCTGTTTTAATGTTTTGAATGTTTGCTGTGAACCGCTTTGGGCACAGTTGCGTGTAAGTAAAACCAGCCCATCAATGAGTGTTCCAGTTTTACACATGCACAGCCAATCACATGCAGCAAGCATTGGCCCAAGATGTGCTATCTGCCTCAAATGCTCAGCTGCCAGTGCTCAGACAGAACCACCATATTTACGGGTTGCAAAACAGTGACATTCCTGGCAAGGACATGTGATGGGGAGCCATTCAAAGAGAACAGCTTTTGTGACATGGCCCAACAAGCTAATCCAAAGCGTCTGCTGTGCTGTTCAAAAATGTGTAGATGCTTGCTCTTTCCATTATATCATGGAATGCAGAACTGGCCAGGTCTGCTGATGTGCCAGGAATGATAAAGATAAAAACTTAGCATGGGCTTTTGCTCTGGGCCTTGTTATCTGCACTGTGAACAAATGAGATTAATACAGACCACGACCAGAACATTCTAAGCCAGCGACCAGCCATTTGCTCCACATTTCTGCATTTTTTTCTATGACTTTTTGAGATATGAATCAGCAGCAAAACAGTGAGCTCATCAGCCCACTGACACTATATGAACATCTATATGAAGCCACTGGGAGAGATCATCAGGGGAGTTGGGCTGGGTGTTCATCAGTATGAGGATGATACCCAGCTCTATCTTTCTTTTAAATCAGAACCAGTGAAGGTGGTGAAAGTCCTGTCTGGAGGTGGTTGGAGGATGGATGGTGGCTAACACATTAAGGTTGAATCCTGACAAGACAGAAGTACTGTTTATGGAATCACAGGGAGCAGGCGGGTGTAGAGGACTCCCTGGTCCTGAATGGGGTAACTATGCCCCTGAAGGACCAGGTGCGCAACCTAGGAGTCATTTTGGAATCACAGCTGTCCATGGAGGTACAGGTGAATTCTGTGTCCAGGGCAGCTGTTTACCAGCTCCATCTGGTACACAGCCTGAGACCCTACCTGCCCGCAGACTTTCTCGCCAGAGTGATGCATGCTCTGCTTATCTCCCTCTTGGACTACTGCAATGTGCTCTATGTGGGGCTACCTTTGAAGGTGACCTGGAAACTACAATTAATCCAGAATGCGGCAGCTAGACTGGTGACTGGGAGTGGCAGCCGAGACCATATAACACTGGTCCTGAAAGAAATACATTGGCTCCCAGTATGTTTCCAAGCACTATTCAAAGTGTTGGTGCTGACGTTTAAAGCCCTAAATGGCCTCGGCCCAGTATACCTGAAGGAGAGTCTCCACCCCCATCATTCAGCTTTGAGGTCCAGCTTTGAGGGCCTTTTGGCGATTCCCTCCCTGTTTCTTCTCATGAACCAACACCCCTTCCAGCAAAAGAAAGCCACATACAGAGCAACGGCATCTCTGACAGTAGCTTCAGATGCAGTCACATAGTGAAACTCATTCTAGACCCACCAATCTAGCCGCATGCATCTTGTGATGTGGATCAGAATGCGAGCACTCACATATATCTGGATTCAGTGCTTGTGATTTGTGGTGCAGGCGCATCAAGGTGATCCCAAAACAAAAGGCTGAGTAACCATCAGACCAAAACAGATACTTGAGTTAAAAGAGGCCATAATTTCATTGGTTGCAGCAAGGTAAGTAGGTTTGGCATTGCATTGTAGCACAGGTCTGTTTTCTGTTTTGAGCCTAGGTGTTCTGTTTGGGGGCGGGGGACCCATCCCAGCACACCCACAGAGGAATGACTTTGAGAGTTGACCAGCAGAGAGGACCCAGTGTGGTGAGGGCCATGCGCTGGCAACCTGAGATGTACGACAGCAGGCTCGGCCCCACCCGCCCAAGCTGTGGCCAAGTGCATTAGCTCACAACTCCATAAGGGCATCCTACTTGTGAGGAGAACCAGAGCTTACAGGGTTAATAGCTCAGAGTGTGCGTCCTGCCCACTGGGGGGTGGTCCGAAATACCAGGATTGTTCTTTGTTATGTGAGACAGAACACTTTTGTTTTGTGCTCTGAGGGAGTCAATCATACCGGCTTGTTCTCCTGGATGATTTATTTCTCTGCTGTAAATAAACCGCTTCGCTTCTCAGATTAGAAAGAAGCTGTGTACGGACTGTTATTTCTACACCCACACAAGACACACACCGCTGTTTGCGATACTCTGCTCAAAGCTGGGAAAAGTCCAGAGGCACAGGGAAGCGTGCCGGACATTTGAATCTCACACTACTCAACCTCACCTCACAACCAAGAGCCAATCAAGAAGAGTCAAAATGTACTCCAGCCATGCGAAACCAGAGACCACGTAAAGCTTCAGGGAAAGACTTTAAACCAAGTGAAGGTTGCTGGGGAAGTCTGCTCACCCCTCTTGGTGTGGCAGCATTGCAGGGCATCAGAGGCCTCACTGGGACCCTGACGAGAGAACTGGAACAGCAGTGCCCTCCCTGATAGGCAGCGAGGGCTTAAGCCCCCTCCACCTATCAAAGCCTGCACCCTGCTTTGGCGAATGGGGATGCAGTCTGCGGATGCAGGCTGTGCCACGGGGCAAAGCCGATGGAGCAGGTAGGCTTCCCTCGGATCCGCCTCTTGCCCCATTTAAGCTGCCCACACCTGGGGAACTACCTGTTTGTTCCTTCGCCGGGTTTCCCCGCCCACCCACCTTTGGTTTAAGCTGATAGTCAATGACTTTGCTGTGGCTACGGCGGTCACCACTCTCTATGGGGCTGGATAAGAATTTGCCCACCAGGCTAACTGGCACCAAACCCAGTGGTTTTGTCTACCTCACAGCAATCGTCACAACTGGTTGGGCATTGGGCCAATCCTTTGTTTTGGATGGAGAGGAGGTGGCAGTCTCTGCCTGCCCCTCCTAACGCTGAAGTACCCCCTTAAAGGGATTCAGGGGGAGTGGCCATGTCTGCATGCACTGGTAGGGCCAGGGCCAAAGGCACTCTCCTAGGCAGCGGTCCCTGCGGGGGTCACCCTATTTGATGTAAGTCTTCAGAACTGGATTGACTACGCGTCACTTCTGGCTGGCAGGCCAGAAGTAGTTAGATTGCCCCATGCCCAAGCCAAACCTCTTTCATCTGTATTCAATAAAGCTGTGGCCTGTTTTGATCCCCAAACCAGTCTTATTGGTCTCTTGTTTGCATGAGTTGTGATATGGGGAGCCCAACGCCTGGTCCTGCAAGCTCATTGAGGGAAACAAATGCCCAGTTTGGTGAACACCAAGACCCTTTTAAGGCTGATGCTCCATCTTCTCCCCAAGATCCTACAAGGCGAAACAAAAGCAGGTAAGGTCTTGCAAGATTCAGGGCGAGTCTGGGTCTCCTTGTCACTGTAGCCAGCCATGCCACCCCATAAATTGATCCTTGGTGTGCAGGAGCGCACAGACCTGTGAGAAGTTGAGCATGACTAGAGCAGATTGGCCCATGAGTCTCTCCCCCTCCCCTGACCCTTTGCATTATTGTTTCTGTGCAATACTTTCCCCAGACTCCTAGTCCTAAAAGGTGATTTCAGCAAGTGATTAATCAACATTCTTTCCCACAAGTGGTAGATACAAGACAGGAACCTGACAGGTTGGCAGAGCTGTTGATTAATGCTTCCTTTCATTGGCAAGTCCTGATTTCTGAATCTACTCAGGGACATCCCTCGGGATACTGTTTCCGGTCCACATTCTCAGAAAAAAACTAGTCAAGCAAAACACTTCCAGCTCTTCTGTGGACATTCTGCTGCAACCTTTGGTCTTCAAAGTCTTAATACACCAGTCTAAAGGTGATGGATGTGATTAAATGGTGTCTCATTGCATAAAGTGTAGCCAATTAAAATGCAACAAATGTCTGAATTTCGACCTTCAGCAAAATTAAGTTCAATGTATTTAAAAAACCGTTGAGTACAAAACAACAAGTGAAGCTGGTAGAAGATGCTCCAAGTCACTGAGGCCTCTTGGGTCTCTAGTGATAATGTTGAGTCTTAAAACATTACCCCCAAGCTGGGCACCTCCTTCCTTCAGAGGGAGCATCGGAAACCACAAACTCACAGTGCTTCCGCCTTGTCAGGACAGTTTGAGTCTTTGTCCATCCCATTGCCCAGATACTGAGACCTCCGGGTAGAGGGCGGTATATTAATTCAATCAATCAATCAATCAATCAATCAATCAATCAATAATATTTCAATAGTATATTGACTATCAGAAGGCCATTAATTTGATGCTGTTCTTCAGACTACTTCAAATACCGGTCCATCGAAAGGATAAATTGCACAACAAAACCAAGCAAAACTCACACACCCAGTCAGCTAGCCTTTACAATTATTTTGCAATGCAGTTATCCAGCCAAGTGGAAAAATGCACACATATTGAGGAATCTACATATTAGTGAAAATAACATACTGTTTTAGGGGAAACTGTCTTGCTTTAGGGCAAATTGCTTTGTAAAAAATGTATATATTAGGCAGCATTCACCCCCTCTCAAAAGAAAAAAAAAGCAGCTTAAGAAGAGCTGAACATTTGCAAGCAAAAACATAAACAGCTTATTTCAGTTAGAGAGAGATTTATATCCTTCTAGTGCCTATTCTGCACCTGTTTCGTATGATGCGCAGGTAGGGGAAAAAACCTGGAAGGCTAGCTTCCATCCTATTTGTGTGCACGAATGAAGCCAGGTGTTTGTGATCTTCCTCTCAAAACAGTGACAGTATATGCTCATTGCTTTGCCCTTTCTAAGACCTGGTACCACTGATTTTTAATTTGAACCGTGCAACTCCTTTTTGCGTTTGCAGCTGCACCGGGAACAAATGCATTTGGGCAATTTTGATATTTATTCAGGCTGATCTACAAATGTTCTCTAGCAGCAAATTTCATCTAATGGCTTGCTTGCCAGCTGCCATCATGGGAATTGCATTAACCATTTGATATTTACAATTTGTGACAGGTCAGCTTATGTCAGAGGAAAGTGTTTACTTCCTCGATTGAATTACATCTGCAAGCAAATGAGCCCTTGGTCGCCACAGCCACATGTCCAATACACAATTTAATTGTTATGTTCCTTTTACCCTCTGTTGGCACCTGCGCAGCGCAACAACCCCGTCGCACCTCTGCGTCTGACAGCAGCACTGCTCATAGCAGCTATTTGGGTGATGGGGTTCAGAGGAGAGCTGATGAGTCAAGAGAGTCTTATGTGCACATAAATGCCAAAGGCGAGGAGGGATTGGACTGTGGAAAACTTTCTTTAAGATGGTGAGAGCTGTTTCCTAGTTCTGCTGGATCTCTCAGCGGCCTTTGACACCAGCGACCATAACATCCTTCTGGACCGTCTAGAGGGGCTGGGAGCTGGGGGCACTGTTATACAGTGGTTCCGCTCCTTTCTCCTGGGGCATGTCCAGAAAGTGGTGTTGGGGGATGAGTGTTCAGACCCCTGGGCTCTCACTTGTGGGGTGCCTCAGGGTTCCGTCCTCTCCCCCATGCTTTTTAATATCTATATGAAGCCACTGGGAGAGATCATCAGGGGGTTTGGGCTGGGTGTTCATCAGTATAACACCGGTTCTGAGAGATCTGCATTGGCTCCCAGTACGTTTCCGAGCACAATTCAAAGTGTTGGTGCTGACCTTTAAAGCCCTAAACGGCCTTGGTCCTATATACCTGAAGGAGCATCTCCACCCCCATCGTTCAGCCCGGACACTGAGATCCAGCACCGAGGGCCTTCTGGCGGTTCCCTCATTGTGAGAAGTGAGGTTACAGGGAACCAGACAGAGGGCCTTCTCAGTAGTGGCACCTGCCTTGTGGAACGCCTTCTTGGTAGTGGCGCCCACCCTGTGGAACACCCTCGCTTCAGATGTGAAGGAAATAAGCAGCTATCCTATCTTTAAAAGACATCTGAAGGCAGCCCTGTTCAGGGAATTTTTTAATATTTAACGCTGTACTGTTTTTAACACTTGATTGGGAGCCGCCCAGAGTGGCCAGGAAAACTCAGCCAGATGGGAGGGGTATAAATAATAAATAATAAATTATTATTATTATTATTATTATTATTGTCAAGAGAGGAAGGTGGTTGGCAATCAGGCTGTGGATCACCTCTTTTAAAGAGGCACTTGTATCATAAAAGCTAAAAATATAATAATATATACAGTGGACCCTCTAGTTACGTACCGCTCTGGATACGTAACTTTTGGGTTACGAACGTGGCAACACATCAGGGAAGCAACACATCAGAATATAATTGACAGAATGCTGGTAATTATTTCAATTAAACTGAAGAAAAATCTATCTGCCAAAGAGGTAGAAAAGTCACTCTAAAGCATCAATAGGAAGATAAACATGAAAAGCAAAAAAAATAACCATCCAAAATAGGAAATAGGGTCCATTTTTTCAGCCCAGAAGTAAGAAAATAGCCCAGTAGGATAAAGCATTGAATGAGCGGGTTCTGGGTATCTGGGTATCTAAAGGTTCAGAAGAAAGGAAAAACTCTGTAGCAGATTACATCACAGGCAAGTCAGCACATCAGCCAGGGCCTGTAAAATACTTTATCAGGATTGTCTGTTTAAGGAAAGGACCCACTCAATATCTGTATAACACTAGGCTTGTTATGTACTGAAGTTCTCACCCTGGGCCAGCAAGGGGATACTGTAGATAGTTCAGGTCCACATATGCAAATAAGGGATCGAAAGTGACGTTCAGTGATTGGATAGTTACAGAAAATGGTTACTGTTGCGTTCTAGTGGAGCTCTATATAAGCAGGCTGGCTGAACTCTTCAGTTCAGTTCTGTTCTGGCCTGTGAATAAACAAGAGCTGTTTGAAGAATCACTGTGTCGTCTGATATGTTCACCCACAACTTAACAAGGCTCTTGCACAAACCTTGTTTCCATGGCAAACACATAAAACCTCCTGAGAACAAATTCTTTTCAAATGAAATCTGAAATATGCTTTTTTGGGGTGGGGGTGGGGGTGGGGGGATAAGGTCTTTGTGCTACAGAACTTGATACAGCAATGGACATAGCTGTAAAACATTGTTCTCCTTTGAGAATAAATTCTAATATTAAAATAGCTGCTTTTCCAAAGCATGAACATGCCCTCATAATAACTGCACAGTTCTTACATGGTTGTTTTTGAGGGATCCACAAGTCCTTCTTCGATTGGCCTTAGTTTAGTATCTGGGCAATGGGATAGACGAAGACTCATAAACTGTCCCGACAAGATGTGAGCTTGTGGTTTCCGATGTTCCCTCTGAAGGAAGAGGTGTCCAGCTTGTGGGTAATGCTTTTAAGACTCAACATTATCACTAGAGACTCAAGATGCATCAGTGGCTTGGAGCATCTTCTGCCAGCTGCATCCTTTCCTGCGTAGAAATAGCCCACCTGGCTACAGTAATCCAGGTTGGATTCCTACATTGTGTTGTATGTGGGGCCGAAAAGCATCTGGAAACTCCAACTAGTGCAGAATTTGGCTGCCAAAGTTCTGGCTTCTTTAGCTAGATGGAGCCATGTCAAACAACAACAACAACAACAACAACAATTTATTTATACCCCATCCATCTGGCTGGGTTTCCCCAGCTACTCTGGACGGCTCCCAACAGAATATTAAATACACGATAAAACATTAAACATTAAAAAGCTTCCCAGTACAGGGTTGCCTTCAGATGTTTTCTAAGAGTCATGTTGTTGTTTATTTCCTTGACATCTGATGGGAGGGCGTTCCACACGGCGGGCGCCACTACTGAGAAGGCCCTCTGCCTGGTTCCCTGTAACCTCCCTTCTCGCAGTGAGGGAACCGCCAGAAGGCCCTTGGAGCTGGACCTCAGTGCCTGGGCTGAACAATGGGATGAAACATGAGTTCCAGATGAACTACATTAGCTTTCTGTTCATGACCCAGCCCAATGCAAGCTGTGGTGCTTACCTTTAAAGCTTAAAATGGCTTGAGGCCCCAATAACTGAAGGAACAACTCCTTCTGAACAGGTTAATGGTGCACAATGACCTTCAGATAAGGTCCTTCTGCTTCATATTCAGAACAGGGGTATATAATGAATGTACAAAAGTTAGGAGGGTCTTTGTGGTGGCTCCAAATATGGAATAGCCTCTTGAGAGAGGTGCACCTAGGGTCAAATTTGTATTCTTTTCAGCACCAGATTAGAAGTTTTTGATTTGATGAAGCATTTTAAAGGATGATATTTTCAGATTACATTACTGAATGAGTTTATTCCTCTTATTTTTGTTGTACTGTATTGTTGGTTTGTAGTTTGTTTCTGTATTATTATTATTATTAGTAGTAGTAGTAGTATGCATACGGGACGCGGGTGGCGCTGTGGGTAAAAGCCTCAGTGCCTAGGGCTTGCCGATCGAAAGGTTGGCGGTTCGAATCCCCGCGGCGGGGTGCGCTCCCGTTGCTCGGTCCCAGCGCCTGCCAACCTAGCAGTTCGAAAGCACCCCCGGGTACAAGTAGATAAATAGGGACCGCTTACTAGCGGGAAGGTAAACGGCGTTTCCGTGTGCGGCTCTGGCTCGCCAGAGCAGCGATGTCACGCTGGCCACGTGACCCGGAAGTGTCTCCGGACAGCGCTGGCCCCCGGCCTCTTGAGTGAGATGGGTGCACAACCCTAGAGTCTGGCAAGACTGGCCCGTACGGGCAGGGGTACCTTTACCTTTTACTAGTATTATGCATATTGCCCTAGAATCCTTTTTTGGAAAAAGGACAGTTTATGCAGTTTGTTACACCTCAAGTAAGCACGTCAGCTTCAAAATGGTGATGCCTGTGCCATGTGACTGCCTGGTTTTCCCTGGCAACTATTGAACAGTGCCCATGACATGGTTGCTAACAAGGAACACCACATGAAGGAAACATTGGCTGAGGGGAAGCAGATAGGCTTTGATATTGTGAACTTACCTTATTAAGTCGTTCAAGAGTAGTTTTCAACATCTGCTGATACTCACATTCATTTTTATATCTACGGAAAAAGAGAAGCAAAAAGGAAAATGTAAATAATAAAGATGATAAAAGAAATGGGTAAGTGACTCAATGTTCTGTTTTTTGTTTCCAGGTAAAAGTGAATAATGGCACAGTTTGTCACAATTTTTCATTTATAACGATGAAAAAAATGGATAATATTACAAGATATTACAAGATAGAACAAAAACATTTTGAAAACCAGGTATAATATCATCGAGGGGGGCAGTGTTTCTAATAATTGTTATACCCCTGCTATTAGTTTGTTATCTTTTTATCAGTTATTTAGTCAGTTGTCATGGACTTCTGTGGATCAATTGAAAATCCAGTCTTTGTTTTCAGTGAGGTACATAAGAGGGGGGAGAACAGGATGAAAGAACATAAAAGAAAGAAGGGCAATTTATATGTGTGTCAGGAGGCAAGATTGAGATTACCAACTGGCAACTGTTGCTGTAGACCAGTGGTTCCCAAGCTGTTTTTGGCTACGCCCCACCTAAGCATCTCTAAAATCCTGATCCCCCCCCCCCGTGACACATAATTCTTATTATTCAAAAAATGAACTCCTATTCACGTGGGGGGAGCCTAAAAGGCCATTAACTGTCAATAACTCATTCTCAAATTGCCGCCCGCCCCCATGTTGGGAACCATGGCTGTAAACAAAATACTTCATAAAATAGGGATGGGGAACCTCAGGATCAAGGACTGAATGTGGCCCTCCGACTTCTCAATCTGGCCCTCTGAACTGTTATAAGGTCTCTCCCTTACCGAGGATAGAGAAATGGGGCGGGGGGGGGGTTAGAAAACACTGGCTTTTGCCTGGCTGGAATGCGACACCATGGGCAGCTGGGGGGGGGGCACATCTGTTGCACTGCTGAAAAAGTGTCGCCAGTCCTGCCATAAAGGCATCCTAAAGATCGCTAAGTTGTGCAAGGTATTTATTTCTTGAAAATAGTGATACACTGTTGTACGGCATGCACTCTCGATGCAACAGTCCTTGGGGTTCTGCTACCCACCGATCAATGTCAAGTGCAGAGTGGGGCTTCTAAACCTGAAAAACCAGGTCCCCAACAATTCATGTAGCGGGTTTATTATTCATTTGTTTGTTCATTACATTTCTAACCAAGCTTTGCTCCAACGAGCTCAAGGTGGTGAACGTGGTCCACCTCATCTCCATTTCTATCCTCGTAATCTAAGCCACATGCATCTAACTGAGGCTCTGTTGGTTCAGAATGTAGCCAAGCATCAAATGAATATATGCACAGGCACCACCTAGTGATTACTTGTGTGTGTGTGTGTGTGTGTGTGTGTGTGTGTGTTTACTTCTCTTCAAAAGCCACAGGCAGCCTTATCTATGACTCTAATACAGAGGGTAGCATTTGAATCAATGGATTCAAATAGCAAGCAAGGAAATTCCGACTAAACGTTAAGAATAACACTCATTAAAGTTTTTAAAGCAAAGGTTAGATGGCCATCTGTCAGGGATTCTTTAGCTGTGATACCTGCATTGCAGGGGGTTCCAACCACATTATTCTATAAAGGTAAAGGTAAAGGACCCCTGACAGTTAAGTCCAGTCAAAGGCGACTATGGGGTTGCGGTGCTTATCTCGCTTTCAGGCTGAGGGAGCCAGCGTTTGTCCACAGACAGATTTCTGGGTCATGCGGCTAGCATGACTAAACCGCTTCTGGTGCAACGGAACACCGTGACGTAAACCAGAGCATACGGAAATGCTGTTTACCTTCCCACCGCAATGGTAACTATTTATCTACTTGCACTGGTGTGCTTTTGAACTGCTAGGTTGGCAGAAGCTGGGACAGAGCAATGGGAGCTCACCCTGTGGCGGGGATTCGAACTGCCAACCTTCTGATCGGCAAGCCCAAGAGGCTTAGTGGTTTAGACCACAGCGCCACCCGCGTCCGTTTCCATGCACTCTGGTTTCCGTCACGGTGTTCCCCTCTCCTTTCGCCCACAGCCAACTTACTTGTTACGGAACTCATCCAGCATGCGCTGAGCATCTTTCTCCTCCCGCTCCAACTTAGCTCTGTCAGAGGCCAGTTCGCGAACCCGCTGGCGGTTCAGGTCGATCTGAGCTGCGAAAGCCTCTTCCAGCCCGGCCAGCTCATCCATGCGCTGAAAGGTCTCAAGCTGCTTACGGAAGATGGCGTTGCGCTGTTCGAGGACCCGGGCCCGGTTGATGTAGTTGGCAAAGCGCTCGTTGAGCTCTTGCAGGTTCTCCAGGCCCTGAGCTTGGGCGAAGCTGCCAAACTCGGGTGACTGGGGCAGCTCTTCGAAAGCATCCGACCTCTCATACTTCTCCTTGCGAACTTCGCGCAGGTAGCTGCTCCTGTACATGGCCGCCTGGGGGGACGTGTGTGGGCCCAGAGATCCCCTTTGCCACTCCCTTTCTCTCTCCAGTTTGACGGCGCGATGTTTCTGGGACTGGGAATGGAAAGGAAGGGGATGCGCTCAGCTCTCCCGCCACAACATTCGAGGACTGACCTGCCGCTCTGTAGTTTAGGATTCTAAAACCCTAGCTAGATGCAGTAGACTAAATAAAATCCAACGGCCCCACCTTCTCCACCTCGGTGTTTCCATCCTGTCAGCATTTTGGGGCTTTCTTTCTCTCCGTCTGTTACAATTGTGCGAAACCCAATTCAAAGCAAAGGGAGGGAGATGTCCTGTTTTTGCTGGAGAGGCAGAAAACAAAAGCTGTGTGGCTTTACAGGATGCGTCCAAACATTCCACTGCTTTTCTCTCTCTCTTTTTTGTCCATCTCAGTCAGGGATTTTTGCATGAGGATGTCATATTTCATCGATGCCTAGTGGGATGCTGGCTTCATTTTTGGTTTTTTTGTTAAAGGCGCAGGAATGTTTTCATCCTAAGGTAAAGGACCCCACAGACATCTTTCTGGGTCATGTGGTCAGCATGACTAAACCACTTCTGGTGCAACGGGACACCATGACATAAACCAGAGCACACAGAAATGCTGTTTACCTTCCCACCGCAGTGGTACCTATTTATCTACTTGCACTGGCATGCTTTCAAACTGCTAAGTTGGCAGGAGCTGGTACAGAGCAATGGGAGCTCATCCCATCACACAGATTTGAACTGATTGGCAAGCCCAAGAGGCTCAGTGGTTTAGCCCACGGCGCCACCCGCGCCCCTGTTTCATCCTAAGGACTGCCTTATAACATGGCAACACCCACACCAGACATTTAAAGCACTAGGACGCCACTTCAAGGACGAAGGACACTTTGTTCAAAGAATCCTGGGAACTGTCATTTGTTAAGGGTGCTGAGAGTCATTGGGAGGCCCCTATTCTCCCCCCCACCAAAAACTAATATTGGGAGGATAGACATTTTTGCACAAAAATAAAATAAAATACAGGGCATTCGGCTAAAATGTCCTCTGTCCTCCTTTGTCCAGCAGGAGCCACCTTTGGAACTAGTCCTTCCCATGTGTAGAAGACCAAGGTCCGGTCTGGATCCAATTCAGTATATTTACCAGGGACTAGGAAGGTAACAAGAGAGGAAGAGATGAACTGATGTCAGTGAAGGGTGGGTGGGTGCAGTGATGGCATCTTCCATCTTTTCCCATCCAGATTCAATCACAATATGTGCTCGTGTTGTACATTTCCATCTCAGATGTCCTTTGGACTTGTCCTCAGGATGGGGCAGACTGCACTGACTAAAGAGTTGATTGGTTGGATTGAGATATATATCTAGTATCTAAATGAAAAATCATGCCTGTTGAACACCACCAGAGGGCTGTAAGGCTACAGCAATAATTTTTACGCTAACATTGTAGTTGAAAGTGAGGGAGAGGCAAAGTAAGAGAAACACTGGAGAGAGTTTAATTTTTGCAAACTTTACACAGGCCAAGGATCACAGATGCCTACACACTGTGCAAAAAGAGGTCCCCAGACATCATTGGGAGATCAAACTTGTGGCATGGGGGAAGATAAGGAAACACCCCGCCCCCCAAACCAGAATCTTTTCTGTTGGGGATAACTCAGAATGAAATTCCCAGGTGTCAGAAAAGTTTATTTATGTATGCAACAAATGTGGCCCGTGTTTTGTTAGCCCCCAAATAGAAAATGACCGAGGTCCCAACAAAATACAATTGGCAACTTAAGTTGACGGAATATGCACAACTTGCAGACTTAACATATAGAACAAGAAGAACATACGTCTAAAGAAGATTGGAAAACGTTTATTGAATATGTGGAAAATAATTGTGCACAGCTGAAAACCCTGGCAGCATTAAGATAAATTCAACAGTGTAAATAATTTTTGACGGATGTAATAATGGAAAACCGATTGGTATAGTTTGTGTAAAATATGCAGGGATATAACATATGCAAAATGAACCATGGAAAGAAAAGAAGGGAAGTCACTGATGTTTTAAGTATGTAAAATGTTTATTTGAAATTGTAAAACAGAAAACTTAATAAAATTTATATATATATATATATATATATATATATATATATATATATATGCAGGTTTTGGTGTCCTCGGGTGTCTTCCCGTGTAAAAGTTGGGGTGTCTAGGCGACGTTTCGACGAGGTCTCACTCGTCATCTTCAGGCTGGAGCTTTCGGCTTCTTGTTACTGGAACAGAGCAGGATCTCAGTGTTTGAGTTCCTATAAATACTGTTGAGGAGGTGTGGTGTATAGCCTCCAATGTTCTGGGCAGAGAGGAAGTTCCCAGGCTAGTGTGCCTTTTCTTCTTTTGTTCCTTAATTACTTGAGGGATATCTGGAGTGATTTCTTGAGTGATATCCTGAGTACCACTTGGGTGGGTCATTAGGTGTGGATTAGTTGCTAAAGCCTTCGTGTCTTGACCTCTTGAACTTGGCTTGAACTTGGCTCTGGCTTGGCTTCGTGTATAGGGGCGAGCTGTGGTTTTGTGGCCTGTGCCAGCCAGATCTGTGTAGGGATTGCAGGGGGGTGCAGCATCCGGAGGTGCCACCATGGTTTGGCTACTGGATGGTGTCTGTAATTTATCTGTGGAGAGGGTCTGGGTTTGGGTCTGGTGTGGTTGATTGGTGATGGCGTTCTGTGTGCCTCTGGATCTGGTGTCGGTTTTTGTGGGGAGGGCTAATTTCCAGATGTCTGGCAAGCGGGATGTGTCGTCACGCTTGTTCATGTTGTGAGGGTGTTTCTCTATCTCGATGGCTTCCATGATTATTCTCTTGTGGTGATGTTCCATGTTAAAGAGCAATTTGGAATCTGCAAAATTAATTTCGTGTCCTGTTTCTTTCATGTGTTGGAAAAGAGAGGAAGTTTTTTCCTCTTTTTTGACGGCATTCTTGTGTTCTGCGATACGTGCATTTATTCGTCTGTTTGTTTGTCCAATGTACGTGGCTGGGCAGACTTTGCAGGGTATTTCATAGACCATCGAGATAGAGAAACACCCTCACAACATGAACAAGCGTGACGACACATCCCGCTTGCCAGACATCTGGAAATTAGCCCTCCCCACAAAAACCGACACCAGATCCAGAGGCACACAGAACGCCATCACCAATCAACCACACCAGACCCAAACCCAGACCCTCTCCACAGATAAATTACAGACACCATCCAGTAGCCAAACCATGGTGGCACCTCCGGATGCTGCACCCCCCTGCAATCCCTACACAGATCTGGCTGGCACAGGCCACAAAACCACAGCTCGCCCCTATACACGAAGCCAAGCCAGAGCCAAGTTCAAGCCAAGTTCAAGAGGTCAAGACACGAAGGCTTTAGCAACTAATCCACACCTAATGACCCACCCAAGTGGTACTCAGGATATCACTCAAGAAATCACTCCAGATATCCCTCAAGTAATTAAGGAACAAAAGAAGAAAAGGCACACTAGCCTGGGAACTTCCTCTCTGCCCAGAACATTGGAGGCTATACACCACACCTCCTCAACAGTATTTATAGGAACTCAAACACTGAGATCCTGCTCTGTTCCAGTAACAAGAAGCCGAAAGCTCCAGCCTGAAGATGACGAGTGAGACCTCGTCGAAACGTCGCCTAGACACCCCAACTTTTACACGGGAAGACACCCGAGGACACCAAAACCTGCATTCCTGTACCCGTGAAAATCTACGAAAGCAAATATCTCACCTCTACGGGGAGGAAACCTTCCAGCTGACAAGAACCTACGAGAAACTAGAAATCCGAAGAGCCACCATCTTATGTGATCTCTTGTTCCTACGCAACTGCCGAGACAACAACTTAATTCCCACATGCTTCCAACTTAAATTCCACTCTAAAACCCCAGCTACCGAAAGGATCCTGAAACGAACTGAACTAGCCCTAATCAGAAACGAACTACATAAGAAAAGATACCTACTAAACCAAACCAACAAAGATCTGCTCACTCTTCACCTCAAACTCTGTAACAAAATCCACCCTGCACTCTGGGACAAATGCAAACAACTAGCCATCTGGAGAGCTGAAACTGAGACCTCACATAAGACAGACACACACACCAACAAACTCCACAAACTAGAGAAACGCCAGAAGCCCAGCCACCCTCCACAACAACCCATGAAACAAACAGTACATAACATATCAGACAGGATCCTCACCTCAACTGAAACCAAAGTACTCTCCAAAGGTTTCAACTTTGCAGTCGCCCCGAGACGCATCCCCACGGAAAACATCATATGCGGAGTCGAAGCTAGCCTAACCAAAATCAACCCAGATGAAGCCAATAAAATCAGACTTGAAGTCACCAACATCCTCTGCTCCAGCAAACCACCCAGAAGCAATTTACACAAAGAAGAACAGAAAGCACTCACCAACCTGAGGAAAGACAACAACATAATCATTCTCCCAGCAGACAAAGGTAATGCCACTGTTGTGATGAACACATCGGACTACCAAGCAAAACTATCAAATCTACTCCAAGACCCTACCTACCAACCTATAAAAACAGATCCCACCACCTATCTGGAAAAAACCACCAAATCCAAAATAAAAGCCTCTCCTATCAGTGAAGAAATCCAGCTAAGAATCATCCCCAGAGAAAAATCATCCAGATGCCCCAAACTCTACGGCCTCCCCAAGATACACAAAGAAGGAACACCACTCAGACCAATAGTCAGCTCCATAGGCTCACCTCTACAAAATCTCGCTAAATTTCTCGCTAAGCAACTTCAGCCCTATGCAGAATCCATCTCTTCACACGTTACAAACTCCTTCCAGTTCATAGAAACAATAAAGAAGCAAAACCTACATCCCAATGACCTACTTGTGAGCTTCGATGTTGTATCTCTCTTCACACAAGTGCCCATTAATGAAGCCTTGACAGCCATTCAAAACAAATACAATCCCCCCGAATACATCCTGGACCTGACCAACCACTGCCTAACCAACACGTACTTCATCCACAATGGACAAAGATACAAACAGATAGAAGGAGCACCTATGGGATCACCCCTCTCACCGGTCATCGCAAACCTGTACATGGAACACTTTGAAACCAATGCTTTAGACAAGTCAGAACACAAACCCAAACTTTGGCTCAGATATGTTGACGACACCTTTGTAATTTGGCCACACGGGAAGGAAAAACTAGATAGCTT